AGGAAACACGTTTTAGAGATATTGGCTTATCATGAAAATCACGTTTGAGCATATATAAGAGAATGTAGTGAATTAAATTCAATAAAATTGATACTACATTCTTTTTTTTACCAATAACTACCTTTTGTCTAACATTGAAACGATTCGCACGAGCCGTTTCGGAAATACTGGCGTATATAAAAAAATACGTTTGCGCGTGCGTAAGCAGAAGTGCTGGTTAGAATTTACTAAAATTGACAGGGGACCAACTAGACACTAATTGTTTCATGCGCACTATACCTAAAAGTTTCATGAAAACCGAATAAATGGTAATAGGTGATATGCCCGTCACATCGGTTTCACTTATCAGCAGAAAAAATGACGTTTGCAATATGTAAGCTGAAACCCATAATTTAAAATGATATACCTCCTTAGACCTTTGTATAGCCTAAATTAAATCTTCTATTCTCCAAATTTAATAAAGAAACTACGATACCTGCAAAATATAAAAAACTTTTCCATAAAACTATTATCTCTAAAACCGGAACCCTTACTAATATTCACGAACAGTTCTAAATCATACACACCAACAGCATCTACCTTCGTCACACCTGATGCTACCTCTAAATGTGCCCTATGGATCATATTACTATTCTCCTTCATCTAATTTATCAATAAATTTTCAATTCGTTGACAACTAACATTATAACCAATGTTTTAATTTTTAAAACCTAAGGACGTGATAAGGGATACCAACCATGTAAATAAGAAGCTTTCGGTAAGAACTATGATTTATCTCGAAAACGGAACAATTTTGGACTTTAAAATGCAGGACAGAATATTTCGTTTACAAATATAGCAGGTTTTAATGATCATATGCAGTATAGATAGATAATTAACGTTTTAAAACTTTCGCAATTCATTGACTTTCTTCTTTGAGTAATTCAACTTGACATTTTGTTCGGTCTCTTCTTCAGGAATGGCGAAGCGTGATACTGAAACATGGAACTTTTTGTCTCGTAGAGAGCAGAAAGGAAGAGAACAAACATGACGAAGAGGCATGGAGAACAATGGGCCAACTTTGTCCACCTCGCACGGGTTTCGAAACTGGTCTTAAAGCAGCCCTCTCTGTAACACTATCCTCAGGTGACACCTCTTCCCTGAAAGAAGAAATGCAAACAACTTGAAGGAAGTTTTGTAAAAGCTTTACAACCGAGGACAACTTGGGAAAGAGGCAAGTTTGGCCCCGGCTCTAGACTTCATTAAAACACCTGCCAACACTTGAAATTAATTACTTTTCTTCGGGCTTTACTGTTCTCAAATCGCTACATATTTAATTTTCTAAACAATTAATCTTAATTTAGAACCTTTTGAAATTATAATCCGGGCTGATTTGTTGTCAATTTATCAAGTCTCTGATCATGATAAGATGATTTTTACCTTTACCATAACATTTCACTCCCCTTATATAGATATATACATAAGTGAAATGAAATTCGCTTCCGGGTTGATTAAGCTTACAACTAAAAGCAGTTACAGAGACAGGAAATGATTGGATAACTCAGTAAAAGAGAGGAATCGAGAGAATCGAGAAAATGAAGCCTTCTCTTAGATGCCTTTTTATAAAGTAGCTAAAACCTATTAAAGTAAATAAAACAAAATGTAATCGATAAACAGAAGAAAATAGAATAAACTAGTATATATAGTCATATATATCATACAATTAAATAATTAATTATTAATTTTTAATTTACTGCTTCTTTATCCAAAATTTATTAAATCATAAAATTATAATAAATTAACATGATTATTTAAAACTGTGGTGTGTGTGTGTGTGTGTGTGTGTGTGTAGTGTGAGTGTGTGTGTACCGTACTGTGATGTAGTAGTTTCCCATTTTTCAGATCTGGGATTTTCAGACACTGGTGTTAGCTCAAAAAATCTTTGTGTTTATAATTCTCATGAATATGATTTAAATAATTTCAAGTAGTTAGACCCGCCTATATAACTTTATATAGGGGTTGATTCTGTGATTGAAGATAATATAGAATATAGAATATCACTTTATATTTGTTATTTAATTGGGAGTAAAAATATGGAGCTGTTTTGTGAATCATGTTTTTGCTTTGCTGCACTTGTTATTAACATGTCTAGTAAAATTTAAGGGGACTTGTTAAGTTCTAGGCTTGAATATTTCACCGAAATAAACCAAGGGATATAGTTCGTTTTTATTTGTATGTTGTGGAGCCATAAGTCCGGAAAGTCACTCCAAATATCCTACTGACCAAAAGGAAAAAAGTGGTATTAACCCGGCTAAGGATCGGACATACTAGGCTAACCCACGAGTATATTATGAGGAAAGATTCTTCTACTCAATGTATTTTATGTATGCCTATGTAGTAGTTGATCCAATTGTAATATAGGGCGAAAATGGTAAATTTGTATGTTACGAGTTAGTTATATATGTTCTACTCAATGTAAAAAATATTGCTTCTTATATCATTTTTATGTTTGTCATAGTGCTGTGAAAAACTTGAAACTATAAGGTAGATTTCCAAACCTTAGTAGCCATAAACATGGAAAAGTAAGAATATAACCCACCTGCGCCTACCTGTGGGAGCAATACTCGCTCCTAGAAATAAAAAGCTTCCAACTGCTGCTGATCCTAGCATCGCCACAACCGCGGGCTCTTTATATTCAAAAGCCGCAGGAAAGGAAGATTGGGAAGGAAGCAGCTCCAGTTGAGTGAAGAACAGGGGAACCACATAAAGAAGGAACAACTGAGCAATAAGGGAGTTAACGAGGGGAGGGGAAGAGAGTAGGGGAAAAGGGGAACTTCTAAAAGAGTTCCTAAGATCTTCACTTCTCTGGGTGTCTTTTGTCTATATAGCTCTGCGGAGGCTACCAATTTATCAAATTGCAAACTAAGAGAAAAAAAAAACTCAAATCTTAGATATTTTTTGGAAGATAAATCATTTTTTTTTTGTTTAGAGTTTATGGAGTTACCTTAGTGACCACTGAGTTCAGGAGAAATATTACCTAGTCTGTGGAAGAAATTATAATAAAACTGATATCTAACTATTTAAAACATTGAACTATTTCTACATATATTATTAGATTAAGCTTCCGTCGGTTATGTGACAAATCAAATGCCATGAAAGGGGTCCGTTGGAATAAAAATTTCACGAGAGTTGAGATAAGTTTACTTTCCGTTTTCGAAAATAAAAAATAAACTCAATAAAAACATTTCACTAGGATTTAATATTCGGTGAATCCAGATGTTACAGATTGTTTTGAAATTCACCAATCTATTTATACCCTGATTTAGCACTGCATTGGCAGTTCTTTGATTCGGGAGTGAGAAAACAATAGGAACCAGTAATAAAAGAAAGTAGTGGATGGGTTTTAATAAAATCGATATGGTTCCGTATAAGTATCAACTCACATAACTAAAATAAAACGGAAGATCAGCCGTACCCTTCACCTAGTCTACGTTATATTACTTAACTACGTTACATACTTAACACGTTAGCTGCGGTTACTGTCCTCGGGTTCCGATATAGGTTTTGATTTTGGCCGGGATTGTTTCGAATTTTGCCGTTCTTACGAAGTTTCTAAAATAGCTATTTGGGAGTTGAATAGATGTAAAGATACATTCAATCATTATATGTGATAGACACTGGGATATATAACCGCAGCTAACGTGTGAAAAAAGTTATCATGCAGTTACACACTGCTAATGATTATAGTTGCAAAGTATCTGCCGATAAAACTATAGTTAAATATGACCCTAAAAATAACTATCCATTACAAAATAATTATGTAAATAAAGATTAATACTATACTTTATTACAGTGTCAAATATATGATTCTATTCGGTGAAATGTTTTACCCCGATTTCATAAAATTGAGAATAGTTATTTTCGACTTAAACAAAAAAAAAAAAAAAAAAAATAATAATAAAAATAAATAAAATCTTTTGTGACTGCATCTGCTAATGACAGAGCTGTTACAAGTAACACCATGAATTCCGGGAAAGGTACGCGCGGGCGAAAACAGCTTGCCATAAAATTGCAGGACAACTAAAAAGCTTCAACATAGCTGTTAATCCTGCAAAAAGGTATTTTTTCTGTAATACACCATGTCCAATTTTGTGTTTGTTCAGGAGAGCCAACTGTTCAGAACTACGACCTAATAAAATTTGTTTCTCAGTTACAAAATTATATAATAAAAAAATGAACAAGGTTTTCTTTACCTCCGGGACACAAGTAATATCTTACCAAAATGGAGGAAAAAAAATGTCTAATGAATTTAAAATTAACAATAAAAGCCTCAAATTATCAACAAAAGCCTCAACATAAGACATAAGACATTTAGACAGAAAAATTAAAACAGTAAGTTTTAAGACATACAGACGCAAATAAGATCATAATTCTCCCAGCTCTATGGTATGGTGCACCACTGTTCAAACATGCCTGCAAAACAACTGAAAAGAGGTTAGAATATTTTTAAAATGGAATAAGTAGAAAAATAGACAAAGAAAACTCAATGCAAAGATTAAAGACATTAGATGTCTAATCAACTTTAAAACTACCTTCAGTTAGATAATTCCTCTCTAAGTGTAAGAAAAACAGTTGGCTAACCCTCTTTTTAATAGCCTAATGCCGGTAAATATCCCGAGACTTTGGCAAGAACTAAGACAATATTATAGATTAAATTTAGTTGCAAGAGTTAGATTTTTATGTAAGTTCAAGTCAGGGGTGAGCCTCTTACTGATATTTATCAGATTTATATGAAACCGCCAAAAATACATACTTCTAAAGTACACCTTATAATGTTTTTAACGATAAAAGGGTTATAAAGTGAACAGAGAATTTACCAGAGTACAAGAGAAAATATAAAAGATAGGATATGAAAAAAACGAATTACCTTATTGAATTGGTTTAAACATTGAAAAAAATAATCAGTATGAATAGAGAAAAGAAGAGATTTCAAAGTGGATGACACAGAGAGCTGAAGGAGGATGGGGGTGCAAGAGAATAGAGGGGGGAGGACTAGGGGGCTAATTAAAGGATATCAGAGCCCCCTGCCACCCCCTACCCCTCGCCCCTATCTGTCAGTTCACAATTCACCGCTATCTGTGTCCCCTCTTCCTACCCCCTTCTCCCTTCCCTCTCCTATCCATTATCTCTGTCTTAAATATTTCACTTCTCGGCTACGTAAGGCTAGTGATGTTAGTTTATGTCAACAGATTTATCAGTGGAACGAAAAAAGAATTAAACAAAATTCTCAACAAAAGAACAATCTTCAAAGGTGCTTTTTTTCACCTGGTTGTCATGCATAATTCATGTTTTTTTACAATCACATCTAATCTCTTTATTGATTATTATTACAGTTTGTCAATTCAAGAATACTAGTAATAGTGATAAATCAGCTCATTCGCAGTCTACTTGCAACAAATAAAAAAAAAATAGACAGCGAAATAATAATATTAAAAGAGAATGTACATAAATAAAAAGAAAATAAACTAACTAAAACAACAACAAATGCATACATACTTTATAAAATAGTTACAAAATGCAATTCCGAGCCAAGTCTTCCCACCTATCCCACTTATAGAAAGAAAGGCAGGACTCTGGGAGATCTCAGCGCCTCTCACTCAGCCGCATTACTGGTATTCAGTATAACCATAGATGTATATGGCTTGAGTGTTAACCTGGTCATTGTAAGAGCTTTCATGTATACTAATTTACAAAAGGTCTCTGGGCCACTGCAGCTTAAACCTTCATGGATTAAACGGATGGGTGAAGCTAAATAGGGATTGTGAAAAATTTGGAGAATTTTCCTGAGATAAATTCTAGGACAAATGCGATACTAAAGTCATGGTGTGGAGTTTTGTTGGTTGCATAGGACAGAACATAAACTATTGTTCAAAGGATTTTGGATTGAAATTATTTGATGGGTTTGATGTTAGAAAATTTTGCTTTTCCATGTTATATTATTATTTATATTTAAGATTGCAATATGCGGAGTGTTTGTTGAAATATATAATATATTAAAGCGAACTTCCTTGCAATATAATTAAATTTTTACTAAAGGAATGAACATAAATAAATAAAATGAATTTCTGAAAACATCATCCACATGGATTAGACAACCAACAGACAAACACGGAACCAAATTCGTTCCTTGGTGTCTATAAGGTAAAAAAAGAATATAAATCTTCGATTCTGAGCACGAAAAATTTCATTGACCTCTAGCAGCTATAGTCCGTAGGTCCAAATAGTCTTCCTTAAGACTATACCTTGTCTTCCAGATCAGTAATTTGTAAAGTTCAAGATAAGTAGAAAGTTGAGATTTTCTATTCTGTAATCTATATTTGACAATATCGCCGTTTGAGTTCTTGTATTTTAAGGTCAAAGTAAAATTAAAATGTATTTTAATTCTCAACCACTTTTATTAATGTTCGTGATACTAAAATAATGAAATAAAGAACTGCACTTATTGCACCTAAGTACTTCGCAGGGAAGTTGGTACTATATTTCTTGTTCAATGGTTGTGCAAAGGTGATTACTACCACCAGATTATTCTTCTTAATTATTTAATTAATTAGGGATACCTACTTTATATAGACTGGATGCGTCTCAGAAGGGTCTCCTCAGAACCCAATGTCGATTCAGTGCTAATGAATCAGAATAATTATTTACAAACCACAACCGTATTAGAACCAAGGAGTGATCAGGATTTGCTCGAACATTTTAGGTTTTAATGTTGCAAAAGAGTGAAAATTAAATTAAAATCATATTTCAACACATTTCAACCACTAATTGATTTCAATGGTTAAGGCCAATAGTTCCATTTAAATATAGACAACTAAAAAACATATTGAATATGATTTTTGCAATCAGTAATATTATTAAAATAATAATTATAATAATTACGCAAAAAACAATTATACAGGAGGACAATATTTAATTTTATTGAATTTAGATTTCACTCCTGTGACAACAAGAATCAATTCAAGAATCATAATTAAAGATTTTTTCCGTGTTAAGCGTATTTTTTTCGTTTTCATTTACAAAGAGTATAAAATATCTTTTTTTTTTGGAATACTAATGTCTCCAAATTATTTTTCAAATTCATAAAATTCTAATTTCTATGTTACTTATTATTCTAAAGAAAATGTTTGTCACTTTAGCAAAAAAGAAAAAAAAAGAAAATCGTATGAGCTAACTAGAGCAGTTATTATTCGATGAATAAATCATTATTCTAATTTCGGCTATTATTATTCATGAAATGAAATACTGCGCATTCGAACCTTTTCATTCTGCAATTTTTTATTTGGTTCCCTCTATAAGCTCTACCTAACGCAGGCAGCGGATTCTGACAAAAACCGTAATGAAGGCTCATTCAGAGCCTATTTGCAAGTCCTGTGGAGTTCGAAAGAGATTCTACAATGCGAATTTTTTTTTTTCTTCCCGAATAGTCCATTTAACATCCAGGTAGGGGAGACTGGCTACGGTTGTGCCAGAGTACTGTCGTGGCAGTCGTCATATTAGCGAAACTTTTAAGAATCACCGATAGATCTATTAAAAATAAAGGGATGTTATGGGTATCTAAAAGTTTTCAACAGTATTGATAACGCATCGCGCGATATTAACGCTAGTAGAGACCTTCATTACATTTTAACACACAAAAGTAACTTGTTTTATTCCATTGATTTTAATAATTGTTGTTATATATGTACAAATAGAGTAATGAATGTTTTTCTTAAACTAATCTTAAACAGTATTTATAAATGAGCAGTGATTAACTTAAATAGATAATTTCATATTGTCCTGATGACTGTTTTTTTCGTAAAGTACGTGTAAGTACGGTTATGAGAATATTTCTGGGTAAGGTTGTGATACAAGTAAATATTTTTTTATTTTTTGCTTTAGATACTTAGAAAACGATCGAGAAAGACCGAAAGTTCATTCTTATACAAAATGTTTATGCCTTATTAGTTATTAGCGAATAAATCGTTTTATAATGTTATAATGTTTTTTAAACCTGTAAGTGCCACAACTGTGGCACCGTTGTGTGTAACCCCAAATCACTGTCACAACCATCCTTGGATTAGTTTCGGTTGTAACATTTTCCTTTTTTTTTTTTTTAACTTTACTGATATGAGATAACCATTGTACTTACGGACAAAATTGTAGTATTTATACGTAGTCAAGTACACTTAACTGTAAAAAAAAAAAACTTTTTTCTAATTAATTGGCATACTAATAAACCCAGTTTCTTCTTACTAGGGGTATGGGTAGCTAGCAATAGAGGATTGAGAAGAGACCACTACATCTTTATCAGGATCCTGTTTGTCATCATAACACATATTCGTCCAGTATTTTTAGTACTGTCATTCATAAAATACCGGCATTTTTTTATCTGCTAAAAATTAAAATTTAATTTATATAGAATTAAAAGAACAAAAATTATTATTTCCTGCTCTCATTATTTAGCTAGTCCGTCTGTTGATTGTTAATAAAAGTAATCAACAGTTGTGGATTGAAAAATAAAAGTTTAAAAAAATTAACATTCTGTAAATACGAATGAGGAATTTTCGTAATTTGGTAGTTCGTGATTGTCTACAGGTACGGAACGGACTTAACCCGTAAAAAATATTTAGTTATTTGATTGTATGCCTCTATCCGCTAGGATCATTGGCAATCCTCAACTCACTCACACTTTTCATATTCTATTGTAGAAACCAATTGTTTTCAAGAATTTCAGTAAGATTTCCACTTCTCTCTCCGCATCCTGCAACACGTCCCGGATAGTCTAATGCATGTTAAGATTATTTCGGATAACTGCATAATGTGTGCAACCCACGAGTATGTGGTTCACATTTCTAAGAGAACCTGACGCAGGTAGGTGGCTCCCGACCGTGCAGAAGGTAGCCATGCGAAAATTCGCAGAGACCAATTCTGAGGCGGCACAGGATTATTTCCTCTCTTCTAGACCTCCTGTTACTCGTACGCCATTTAGCATTATTGGGTTTAACCAGAGCAAGTTTGGAGGGGTTCCTTCTCTATGTTTCATTCCATTGAGCTATTATTTGACGTTTCGTTTGCCTCACCCAGTCCTCCCGAGGAACATAATCAATAGATGTTATTGTTAAAATGCGTTCGAGCCATTCGGAATACGATGTATGTCTGTTCGTTTCCGTGTATACCACAATGGGATGGAGCCTAAATGAAAGCCAGTACGTTTCCTGCTCTTTTACTGATCCAAATAAGTTCTAAAATATCCACTATCGTTTCATGTAAATAATAATAATATTAATTTAACTTTTATTTTATTAATTGAGTTTGGTAAATATGCCGAATGGTGAATTATGTATTAACAGTTCTCATAGCTCAAAGGATAAAAGGACAAAGTTATCCCTACATAGTAAGGATAAGCTATCCCTGATAGCTTAGAAGTAGTCATCTAGAATGTACCGGCTGGACACAACAAGACCCATTGTCAAGACTTAGGAAACAATAACAGATTTTAGCAAAAGGCCGCTTTCTCACAGACTTCATATCAATCCTAGAGGATAAGGATATCAATTCTCAATAGTTAATAACTCCTTTTCAACGCTTCCTAGACCTCCCAGAATACCTTCACCCCCTACTGTTTCTGGGTATATTATCCTCATGGCACGGGCGTATCTATGGGGGAAGGCTTTCGGGCTGAAGCAACCCCTCAAAATGGTAAAATATAACCATGTTTCATGGAAAAATATATTAAAAAATTGTCTCTTAAGTTATTATTGTTCGTGTAATTACATTTAAAAGCATTTAAGGAATCACTTAAACACCATTTCAAATAGATAGTCTGTTTCTTTCTTTTCTGTTAAAGTGATTATCGTCATCTTTATGAAAAAAAAGTTTTCGGGCTAAAGCCCCCCCCCCTAAACAATTAAATACTGGATCCGCTAGTACCTCATGGTCCTGTAGACAAATAACTCTTGTAGTCACATTCTTGCCAGGAGACATGGGGTAAACTTTTATAGTCACTCCATATATTTATAGTATATTTATGTATGTTAGATGCCATTTGTAACAGATATTATGAATAAAAGTATTAATTATAAACTCTTCAATTCAATGCCTCCGATACATTAACTTATGAAATAGCGAATTCTCGTCATAATGACGAATATGTGTTAAGTTGTTCTTAGACCTAATTAGGAATTTTTTTCCTATGCTTTAATAATCTTTCAACGTAGAAGAAAATTGCCTTTTTTTGCTATGCTTGTAAATTCTTCCCAAATTCAGGGAATAAAAAGTCCTATTTCCTCAAGTTTAGTTTATATTTAAACCGCTCTTCTTGTTAGAGACATTTTTATTTGTAGCACGTCTTTTTCCTTTGGTTATTATAAAAAACCAGCTAAGGTTGATAAAACATATGATAATCACTTTATATTTTCTTTGAAACAAATAATCGTTAAATTTAATATTTAATAGTTGATAGTTGCATTATAAAGGAAGAAGATGGTCCGGGGTTGCGGTCATAAATAGGCTAAATAGTTTTACCACTATTTAGCCAATTTATGACCGCAACCCCGGACCATATTCTTCCTTTAATAATCTTTAAAATTTGTCGCAAACATATGATTTCCTGCCCTCAGGATTTCAGTATCCATCGATAACTCTCCCCTTATCACTGTTAAACAGATCCGCTAACTAGGACTCAGTTTGGAAAACATTTACTTGGAATCGTCAGTAATTCCTACCACCTACATACTTCCTCATTATCTGTTCATATTGTACTGATTGATACTTCAAAGTAACTCATAATAATGCATGTTCATCCCTCTTTTCTCAGTCTGCTGGTGTTATTCAAGATAATATCCTCGGTCCTATCCTTTATAAAGTTTCTACGCCTGATATCCCAAGACATTCCAACACGGTCATCACCACCTATGCAGCTGACACTTGTATCCTATTTGTTATTAATGACTCTTTAATTGTATGCCAAACCCTCCAATCACATATCACAAACCTCGAAGAATGGTGTCATAACTGGACAATAAAAATAAATTCCAATAAATCCCATCAAATTACCTTTATCCTTCGTCGTAAACCTACAACTTCATATCCTACAATATCCTTCAATTATATTCCACTTGTTAATGTTGAACATACCCACTATCTAGAACTCCACTTGAATAAACGACTCACTTTCAATTAATAATTACAAAAGACTCATCTACTTAACTATAATAAGACCTAACGAGACACGGAGTTGAGCTTTGGGGCTCTACCAAACCATCCAATTCCTATCGTATCCAATCCTTACAATCCAAAATCCTTCGTAAAATCCTCAACGCTCCTTACTTTGTCACAAATAAAATCATCCATAAAGACCTTAATGTTCCATATGTTTCCGATCTGGCCCAATCCAGATACCTTTCCTTCCATAACAAACTGCAGAATCATCCGAATCCTCTCGTTTCAAACCTTGCTTCCTCCTCGATCCCTGATAACCCTCCGAGGCGTCTGAAAAGAAGATGGTCTCGGGATCTTCTAATATAGAACTTTAATTTGAGTTCTACCAATGGGTAGTTTCTCTTCATGTTGTACATGCCATGTTACAAATTTCTCATTTACTTATTGTATTCTCTATGTAATACAGTTGTAAATTTCATTGAAATAATAAAAAAAAAAAAAAAAATTTGCGATATACAAAAGTCTATTGAGATATATAATTCTAAATTATGTTTAAGACTATGGGTTTCAGCAGCTTACATATTGCAAACGTCATTCTTTCTGCTGATAAGTAAATCCGATGTGACCGGCATATAACCTACTACCATTCATCCGGCTTTCATGAAACTTTTAGGGATTGTGCCGGTTAGTGCCTAGTTAGTCCCATACCAATTTTAGCAAATTCCTACCAGCACTTCTGCTTACGCACGCGCAAACGTATTTTTTTATATACGCCAATATTTCCGAAACGGCTCGTGCGAATCGTCTCAATGTTAGACAAAAGGTAGTTATTGGTAAAAAAAATGTAGTATAAATTTTATTGAATTTCATTAACTACATTCTCTTATATATGCTCAAACGTGATTTTCATGATAAGCCAATATCTCTAAAACGTGTTTCCTTGATATGCCAATATCTCTAAAACCGCACGTTCGGTTGGGTCAAATCTGGGGAAATGAATTAGTTAACAGGGATTAATTCTATTCCCAAAAAATACCTCTGATTTTGGAACAGTGTTTGTGCTAAAGGTGATATTTCGTATTATGAAACTAATATAAGAGGATAAACTAAATGGCATAGAAAATAAAATTGGTTTATCTTCAGTCAAATCCGATGAAGTCCTCAACTATTCTAACGTCGATCAGTATTACTGTATTATTGATGTTATGAGATATTAATTAGTAAAATATTAACCTATGCTGGCACGTAGTGGATGGCTGTAATAAATAATATATTAAAGTCCCACATATCGAACTGAGCGTCTGTGGCTGTAGTGCCCTCTTTCAGTCTCCACTGGATTCTAATACTAGTGATGCGACTGGAAAAGTGGCACTGGGATCTTCCGGAGTCTTGCTTTGCCTTCCGCGTGTGGAGGTAAAAGCCTGGCCCGGAGATTCTTGGGCAAATGTATATATTGTATATAGTTCTGATTGTGTTTAGAAGTTTTTATTTTATTTTTTTTTTTTTATTATTTTTTTTTTTTATTTACCTTCTTCATCAGTATTATTTATTTACTTCTTATATTTATATTTATTTCTTTATTATTTGTATATATTGTATGAATGAGAACTTTTAGCCCTAATGCTTATAGCCCTCCAGCAGTGGCTGATTGTATTATTATTCAATAAATCCTACAATATCCTTCAATTATATTCCACTTGTTAATGTTGAACATATCCACTATCTAGAACTCCACTTGAATAAACGACTCACTTTCAATTAATAGTTACAAAAGACTCATCTACTTAACTATAATAAGACCTAACGAGACACGGAGTTGAGCTTTGGGGCTCTACCAAACCATCCAATTCCTATCGTATCCAATCCTTAATGCTCCATATCTTGTCACAAAGAAAACCATTCACAAAGACCTTAATGTTCCATATGCCGCTGATTTAGCCCGTGCCAGATACCTATCCTTTCATGATAAACTCCAGTCCCATCCGAATCCACATGTTTCCAGCATTGCTTCTTCCCCGATTCCTGATAATCCCGCTGAAAATAAGATGCCCTCGTCATCTTCTTACCTAGAATTAAATAGGGAGTGCTACCACTGGGCAGTATTTCAAGTCTGTTTATGTCATTATTTCTAATGTCTGTATTTTTACTAGTTGTATTGTTTATACAGTTGTAAATTTCATTAAATATATAAAAATAAAAATAAAATAAAGGATTTCAAACTTTACAAAATGATTGAACATACTTATATATATATATATATATATATATATATATATATATAAGGATTATTGGTCAATGAGGTTAGACTAAACCAATTCATTCAAACGCAAATTCTAAACTTCTCGTTAAATTAACCCTTGAGAATTTTAAGACCCCATAGGGCGTAGACATTATCACGGTAGAAGATAAACACGGCTCCATTATAAACTGCTTACCAGGGGAACCCATTAGTTGCTTATCTTTCTTCCTTATCAATTACTGATAATCCTCGTAGAATATTGCGCTCTCTCGCATAATTCCAAATAATCATTAAATCAGGAAGTAGTTCCTCCTTCAACATTGTTTATTAACTATTTTCGAAGGGTTCTGATGGATCAACAGTTTTTGATTTATATTTATGCTATGTGACCTGTGGTCTCGCAAACATTTTGGATTGTATATATATATATATATATATATATATATATATATATATATCATTTCATATAAATAATGAGCTGTAATAAATGATGTATATAATACATGACCAAGTACAAACAATTTATACCTTACAATTTTTTTTTCATTAACTCGGTATGTTTTAAACAGTACTCTCTTCTACCTATTCTCTTATTTTCCATTCCTTCCTTTCAGACAGATTTTCTTGACATGATTTTTATTCCCATAATCTGTTCAATCATTGTGTCTCCAACATCTACAAACATCTAACTTGTGGAACTTCGGCGCCTTGTAGATTCTAGCTGGTACCTTCAGGTCTGAAGGCGCAATAATAAATAATAGATGAACTGTAATGACTTGATCTGACATTTAACAGATGCATGGTACAGGACACACATATCAACAAAAAAACCTCAGACCACAACTATCATACTCACGTATTTCAAGACTTTAAAAATTAAAACTAAATCAGAAACGGTACACTTTCATTTGCTTTCTTAACCGCTTTTGATAGATTTTCATAGATGTACAGGACATCCATAAAGATTCACTTTCGTACCTATAAGTAAACTACAAACGTTTTCAGAACTATAACTAAATCATCATGGTAGATCACAAACATTATTTTACATAAATATCTCTATATTTTAACAGTGATCGACCACATCCGGACCCTATACAAATGATTTCACGCTAACTAACAAGGACATATTAATACCCTCGTTCAATGTACGGATACGATTGAAATACCCGTAGAATGCTCAAAAGAAGCCGAATGAGGGATCTTCTAGCTTAAAAAATTTATATTAAATAAATCATGATAGAAAAGAATGCCACTAGGCACCCCTCTTACTTATAACTTACATTTGTTATTCTTACCGGTAGCAAACTCAATATTCATATTAGAACAGATTGACAAATTCATTATATATGACAGATTGATTTCATAATTTACTTATAATACAAAGTTATTCTATTTTCTTTAGGTTCAATCAGTAATATCGATGACGGGGAGTACCACTGCAACAAGACTCAGGTACGGAAGGTCATCTCGGGAGTCATCGGCGCGGCGTCAAGCGTCACGTCCATTCAAGTCGCTAACCTCCTCAGGCTCTTCAAAATACCTCAGGTCAGTCATAATATATCTATGAATGTAGCTTATATACTCAATAATGTATCTCATACGTTTCAAGTACCTTCAGCCAAAGACGTAATTGGAAGTACTATTTGCTTCTATCGGCATATAATTCAACCAACATGAACAGAAGCTATAAAAATATAACTTCATATTTTATCAAATTCTCTAGGACTCCCCCAATACATAGTTTCCAGTTTCAAGTTTCCTTATTAAATTCATATTTTCCAATAAAATAATAATAGTTTATATGAGCGTGTTAAGAAAAGTTTACATAATTATTTTCGAAGCTACGTACGGAACTGGAAATAGAAGAAAAAAAATCCAAAGGTAAAATGGAACAACGAGGTAGAAGAAATCATGGTGGGACAAGGTATTAGGGAAGAGCAAGCCTTGTGTAGAAAGTAATGGGAAAAATGTTGAAAGATATTTAGGTCAAGAAAACTATTCCTTAGAGAAGCTCAAACATGGATCGAGGAAAAGATGAAAACATTGGTTTAAGTGATAAATGTAAATAAGTTTTGTAATTATTTTCTAGTTCTATTTATTTTACACGTCTTTGACACTATGTTAAAGTAACGAATCTTAACCTGTTCAACGCTGCATATTCATTACTATAACGCATCAGTATAGTACACGCAGTAATCAGAATTGATTAATTAGCGGGACAAAATAGAATTTTATAAAATTTATTCTAAGTATTTAGTTCAAGTCCCCTCAATTGTAAGTCCCCTCAATTGTTCCATTACACGTCTAAATGAACTTTCCTCTGACCATAGTCCTCTAATCCTTAATGTTTCACTTGAACCTGTTCCCAAACCTTCTCCACCGTCATTCATTAGGGGCCCAGTAAACTGGGACCTTTTCCGCCAAATAATCTCCGATAATATTGATCTCAACATATCCCTCAAAACTCCCGATGACCTTGATAGTGCCGTAAATTCCTTTACTACCACAATCCAACAAGCCGCCTGGACTGCCTCCTTTCCAAAAGACTCCTCCAGAATTCCTATAAAGACCATTCTACCCCAACACCTCCTTAACCTAATCCGCACCAAACGCCGTGCCAGATTATTATGGCAACGATCCCGACATCCTACCGACCGCTGCTCCTATAATTACTACTGCAAACAATTAAAACTGGAATTAGCCACCTTCAGATCACAATCCTTCAACTCCTACCTATCCTCCCTCTCTTCTCGCGACAATTCCCTTTGGAAAACCACAACAAAAATCCTAAATCCTCACCGCATTTCCCATCCTCTCCGACGAGGTGATGGCTCCTGGGCAGCATCTGACGAAGATAAAGCTGAGGAGTTCGCCATTCACCTATCCAATACATTTATTTCACATCCGGAATCCCATCCTGCCCACACCGTAACAGTAGAAGAACTCCTTACATCACCAATCCCACTTTCCTTGCCCCCAAAAGCTATTCATCCTTCCGAAGTAAAATTTCAATTAAAAAAACTAATCCTCCGTAAAGCTCCTGGACATGATCTCCTTACACCTCAAATCCTTCGACAACTTCCATCCAAAGCAGTCATATTCCTTACATATATCTACAATTGTATCCTACGCACCACCCACTTCCCTCTGTTATGGAAACACTCCACTATTATCCTTTTCCCAAAACCAGGAAAACCTCTCAATAGCTCAACATCCTATAGACCAATCAGCCTACTCCCAATCCTTTCAAAAATTTTTGAAAAGATCCTTTTGAAACGAATCCTACCCATTATAGAATCCCAAAATATCCCTTCCCATCAGTTTGGTTTCCGCTCTCAACATTCTACTGTTCAACAAGGACTCCGAGTCGTTGATCATATTTCCTCAGCCCTAGAAAACAAGGAATACTGTTCGGGTGCCTTTCTGGACATTGCACAGGCATTTGACCGGGTATGGCACTCCGGACTGCTCTCCAAGCTTAAAATCCATTTACCTCAGTCCTTGTACCTAGTCCTCCGATCCTACCTCTCTGACCGCTCCTTTCGAGTTCGCTGTGGAACAGAATTTTCCAATATCTACTCCGTTAAAGCCGGTGTTCCCCAAGGCAGCGTCTTGGGTCCCGTGCTTTACATCCTCTTTACTGCTGACATCCCTGTTCATCCCGATACTTTTCTTGCAACATTCGCTGACGACACCGCAATCTTATCATCCAACTCTGATCCCGAAATAGCATCCTTAAATCTCCAAAGTCATCTCACCTTGATTGAGCACTGGTGTAATAACTGGCGCATTAAAGTTAATGAATCTAAATGCCAACACATTACTTTTACACTCCGACGCAATTCCTGTCCACCAGTACTCTTTAATTCCATCCAGCTTCCTTATTCAGACACAGTCCGGTATCTTGGCTTTCATTTAGACCGAAGACTAACTTGGAACCCGCATACTAGACTCAAAAGACAAGAACTCAACCGACGATACGGCCAACTATACCGACTACTAAGCAGAAAATCTAAACTTTCCATTGAAAACAAGCTACTGATCTACAAGACAATACTGAAACCTATTTGGACTTACGGACTAGAACTGTGGGGATCAGCAAAATTTTCTAACATCAAGCGCATCCAATCCTTCCAGTCTAAAGTCCTTCGAACAATAGTCGATGCTCCTTTCTATGTATCCAACAAAACCCTACATCATGACCTTAACATCCCATTTGTCCTAGACCTTATCCCAGAAAAGTTCTCCAAATTTCACCAGAACCTTACTTACCACCCAAATCCTCTTGCACAATCCCTATCAAGCATCTCCCATCCCTATAATCCTCCAAGAAGGTTGAAACGGCAGTGGCCTCGCGACCTTTTGTAAATTATATAAATTGGAGTTCTGGCAATGGCCAGATTCTTCACTCAAGACATGTGTGTATGTGGCTAAAGTGCTCTCGACCAATCTCCGCTGGCTTTAGTACCAGTGACGCGGTTGGAAGAGTAGCGCAGGGTTCTCCTGGAGTTCCCTCGCCTGATTGTATATAGGTATGCATGTTATTTTTTTTTTTTTTTTTTTTCCTTAGTTTTAATTTTCTTATTTTTTAGGTTATTTTATTTTATTGTCTATTGTATATACTTTTGATTATTATTTTGTTCTATTTATTTTATTTTTTTGTACATATGGTGTGAATGTCATCCTACCTCACTATAACCAATGTCGAACAGACAGATTGTTATAATACTCAAAAAAAAAAAAAAAAAAAATAATAAAAAAAAGTTCAAGAGATAAGTAGGTAACCACGATTCGTCGTGATACTAAAGAATGAACTAAATTATGTAAATTTCCTTGCGTTTGGAATAAGGTTGATTTCAGATTATTAGTTGTCTCGGGTCATGAAAAAATTGTCACAGTTTGAACTTTTAATTATTTCTTACTACGTCAGTTCTCTAAGAGAGTTATTGAATAAAATATTTTTTTTATTTTCTAAATATGATTTACCATCTGTATAAGGAAAATTTTATTCGTAGACTAAGTTTGAATTTTCGGGATAGCATGGATAATAGGTGATGATTTGTATACATAAATTTTAAACTCTTTAAAGATACTTTATGTAGTTTTTCGTGTGGATCTCTACTCGAGTGAAGTAAAAGAGATTAGAACTTGGATAACTATTTCACAATTTCAGAGCTCAACTTTTGATTTTTTTGTTAAATGAAGAAGTATTTCGTAAATATATTTTTTAGCTTTCTATTGACGTGTTTCGTGTACGCCAACAATCTGTCAGCTATTGCTAATTAGTAGTTTGTTTATGTTTATGATCTGATTTTAAGGAATCATAAGGATTTATATGAGATCTACGATGATATTTGGTTTATATTTAATTTCTAATTTTGGCAGTACAAACTCAACTTATTAAAAAAATTCTAATCGATTTACTATTAAAGGAATGCAATAAAAAGAAGTATGTGGTACCGTGGTGTAAAGGAACCCCATTACTATGGATGACTTGGAAAATCGGATTTGAACACATTAAATAGAATAGTGAATAGAAAGACGTAGGAGACTGGCCATTACAAGAAGTACACCGGAGGTAGAATTATATATTCGGATATAAAATTTTCTATTATGGAGGAAATAAGGGATGAAATGAATCGGGCATGGAAGTAAAAAGGGAGTGGAAGGAAAATCGTCGTGTGTAAGTTCCATATGCGAAACCGTATCGAAAGCATTTTCATGGTCTATTGAATAAATTATTTTTTGTTTTGTTTTTTCATTGAAGCATTTTGTTTGTATTAAACTATTAGATTGTTAGAATCCATTACAACAAAGGGATGTAAGCAAGAAAACTAAGTATTAAGTAAACTATGGTTAGAGTTAAACCTCTGCTATTATCGCTATGATTTTTCTACACTGGCAGGCTTCCCTTTCTGAAAGTATTTGTATAGTATTGTTATATCATATTTGATTGTTAATTTAAGTTTTAAGGCGCAAAGCACCAGATTCATTAACGCCTGTTTGATTCTACATAATTATTGAAGCCAATCCAACAGTTTAAGCGAAATTTCACCACGTTTGTAAATGTTATAAATTACTTCTAAATGATTGAGGTTTATTATTGGGTGAGGAGCTTTTTATGGAAATAATTATCGTTTTTTAAATATTGCCATCGCGAATCGATTATAACTTTTCGAATTTCTTAAATATAGGAGTTCATTATTATATTGCTACAGGCAATAATTATGAAAATAATGACGATTTTTAGATTATAGGTTGATGCACGATCTTTTAATAGTCAGTATTTTTTAAACGTGACCGTGCTATCTCAAAAAGAGTAATATTTTCAAAAACTAGACATAGTTTTACAATCACAAACGAAAATGATATTTTCTTCTGTTGTAATTACAGATATTGTAGATCTTTAGCCGCCTTAATCTGCCATCTCCACATCCACCTAATTTGGGATATTCCTTTCTAGTTAACTACATTCAGCTCGTTTGCGTCGCTTTACACACATTATTTGAGATTCCATTAACTCTGAAAAATAGAAGAAAGTTCTGTTCGCATATGTTATATACTGGCCAATTTTCGATCGTTGCTCATTCATTGAGGTTATTGTGGAACCTAGGTATTTAAATTTCCTTATTCTCGGAAACGATTTCCGATTTTCAATGCTATGTTGGCTATTATCAAGTACAGTTATATCATCTGCATATCTAAGGATTTTATGATATATTCAGACTAGCATTCCTTCATTTTCTGGTGATGTTCTTATCATCTTCTCAAGCGGTAAGTTGAACAATAGGACCCATCTACAGGCCGTAAGCCAGTTCGAACTGTGAAGGATTTAGATGAACAAATGAAATATTTTTTTGACATTATGAGTCGTTCAATATATTTATCTGTAATGTCAAACTTAAGAGACTGGTCGCTATCAGGAGTAATTGGCGGACAAAACAGACTATATATATACTATTTCTCTTATCTGTGGATAGATTGATTAAATTCCAGATTTGCCATTTATTTATGAATTATTTTCTTTAGCGATTTCTTTTATATCAAGCTTTCAAAACCAAACTCTTTTCTCAGCAATTCTTTCCCTAATGGCCCATTGCATACTCCTCCGACAGTCCTCTACCATTCTCTCCACTACTCTATCCTTCCATCTAACGGGACTCTTCCTCTCCTTCTACTCTCTTCCTCCCAATCTATAATTATCTTTGGTATCCTATCATCACCCATTCGTCCCACGTTGCCGTGCCATCTGAGTGTCCTTTCTTCCATCAACTCTAGGATATTTTGCTTGATTTTTAATTTCTCTCTTATAGTTATGTTTTTCACCCTTCCGAGCCTGGATATTGTTGCTGCTCTCCACCAAAAAATGATATAAACTGAGCTTTGTATGTAAACTTTTAGATTTTCCTAAAATATTACTGCTCCATAATATAGAGTTAAGCATTCCCACTGCAATTTTACTTAGGCTCCTCATTTCACTATATGTCAAAAATGCGCAGCAGATTTCTCCTAATCAATGAAGGGGGGGGGGGGGGCGGGCAGCTGCGACGTGACGGTCCGAAGCGGCGGCCGACGGCGCTTACTGGTACTGGTACTGGTGTTGATGTTGGCCATTAGTTCCCGTTTATGAATATTCATGAAGCTAGTTCTCCTTGAGGGTGAATACACTATCAACAGTCCTAGCACAATCCTATACATCTCCATGAATAATTTAACGCCAATCCGCTAGGAATCAAACACTCGGTTGTCTTACTGATTCACTCATCTCCGCCAAGTTTAATGTTTCCGTTTTCATTTGTCTTGTATCAGAGGATTGATTCTGCGGCGTTCCCTCAAGTTTGGTATTTCCTCAATCAAAACAATTTAAGCTTTCAATGGAGTATAATTGCGTTTTTTAATGAGTTTCAAATTAAAAATAATGAAAAAAAAAACAGAACAAAAATCTTAAGTCATACTTTTTGCCGGATATTTATTACTTTATGAGCTTAGGATATTTTTTGCTCTGAATTGAATATATAAATTTTTACGGCCGAGACATTAAACGTTTCACATTTATCACGTAATACCGAAGTAATCATATATATATTTAGACTCGCCTATATTTCAATAATTCAGCTCGTTCGATTTAGCTTTGAGTTAGAGAAAAGTTGAGTATTATGAAGAAAAAATGATTCTTCGATAGTTTTTACCAAATTCATTCCACTACTTTCTTTGTACGTAATATTTTACTCGAAAATTTGGAAGTTGGGGATCATAAAAAAGTAAAAAAAAAAAAAAGACTATCAATTTTATTGAAGTTACATCCCCTTATATATGTGCAAAAGCATTTTCTTCAATATGCCTACCTCTCAAAAATTGCACGTTCAGTTTTGTAACTCAAAAATAGATGTAAGTTTGGGATTATGAAATAAAATAATGCCGTATCAATTTTATAAAATTTAATTCACTACTTCTCCTTATATATTCAAATATATTATGCTTGGTACACTTATTTTTTAAAAACCAAGCGTTTGATTTGGCCCAATTTATCAAGACAATTGGGTATCATAAAAAAAAAAAAAATAATAATAATTCATCAATTCAATAGAATTTAATTCATTACTACACCTTTATATATGCAAATATATTTTCTTTGGTACAAAAACCGCGCTATCGGATTGGGCCAAATTTGAATGGAAGTTAAGAATTCGTGAAAAAATGATCAAATATATATCAATATGGTCTAATTTTATCCAATATTGTCAAATAATATGTGTATGTAAATAGTATTTCCAAGTCAAAATTTGCCTATATGATTCATAAATAGACTCTTCAATCGAAAAATAATCCAAAGTTGAATCTGGTTTGGAAAAGTTTTAATTTAGTTTGGAATAACTGAATTTGACTTGAAAAAAAAACTAATATGACTTGGATACCGATGTTGAATTGTATACATACCAATGTTCTCACATGATGTATAGGTACATTATGGTATCACATTCTCACAACACTCAAGTCACCATTGTTTGTTTGTTTATTTGGGATTTGAGACGTAAAACCATAGGGTCATCAATTGTTCTCTTGAGCTCATAAGCTCCTTCATATATATATATATATATATATATATATATATATATATATATACAAACATATACATTTCTATTTTCTATTAAATAATCGATGAGTTTTAAAGAAATTTATAACTGTTTTTATGTTTGATTCGTCACTATTTAATATAGCTGAAATAATAGACTAAGATATAATCTATTTAAGCTTGCGGTATAAAGTGGGCATTCCTGAAAAATATAACTGCCAGTGAGAGGACTATTGCAATATTGGCAAGTTGGAGGTGGTGGTTTGTCGATAATCTAGTCAAGACGACTTCTCTGCGATTAGAACGGTTGTGGTCCAGGGTTTAACTGATTTTTTAATAACTTTCAACTTGCTTGGTGGACTCTCATTCCACATGAGCTGCCAGCTGTCTAATATTTCCTTTTTGAGAGGAAGACTCATTTCAATCGGTGATAGGATAGCAGTACCCCGGCTTGGAACCAAAGGCTTGATGGGCTGCCACGTCTGCAAGCTCATTTACGATTATTCCCATGTGACTAGGGATCCATATAAAGCAAACAGATTTTCCCAAATTTTCTAGAATCTCTCAAGTCACCATTTTGCCATGTCATATATTTTTTTTTTTCAAGTTGTGAAAATATATACTACACAAAAAAATCAGTTTCTGTGTGTGAAGTTATCTAAGTTACTGGTATCAGAAATTATTTCCAGACTAAACTTTATTAAAATGGAATAGCCTGCGGTTCATGGCTAAACGATTACGCCTAAAATTCAATAAAGAAATAGAATAATGTCATTCCCTTTCCAATATCCTTTAAATTAATTATTGATAATAATATCAAATCGACTAATGACTATCTGATTCTCTCAGAACTATTTTATTGCATTCATTATTTATATCAAGCTTTGAACGATAAATTCTATAAATTTATGACCCGATCTCCGGCCAATACTGCTAATAGCGCCATCAGCTGGAAGGTCGAGGTTTTTAGAGACACTTAAAAGCCAGACGGGACTCTTCCGGCAAAGTTCCAAATCTTTATACCGCTCGACGAGGCGGAAAGATATCCACACTACTGCTCTAAGATAACTACTCCACCCTGGAGAAGAGTTTGGAAGGTCACGGGAAGCGATGCAGAACAGGGAAATGAGGGAGGATAAGGGATAGAAACAAATCCGCTAGAGAGCCCTACAGTTCTATACAGTTATTATACAAAACAATACAGGCTGATATTGAGCTAAAAAAAAAAGATAGTATAACACACAGGCTTTTTGTTTTAAAATGATTTTTTCCTAGAATTTCTCGCAATAGTTGGAAACTCCTAAGCTTAAAATACTCTTGAAGGTTTATATGCTGAAAATCTCTTTATGCTGAACTTTTCTATTTATAAATAGTATTTTAACAAAAAGTAAAAGTTAAAATACCGGGTGTTTACACTCACACGTGTTTTAATAAAGATTTTAGACAAACTCAAGCTTTTTAAGCTACTTAATAATTATCTTTCAAGTGAGAATATTTAATATTCCGAGAGATATACTTTTTTTCGATTTTGGAAGAAAAAAAAAGTAAATAGATATCCATGGAAACCTGAGTAAAATATTTTTTAAATAAGCTTTCTCTATTTTTATATAAAACTAGGAGGATACCCCCAGTTACCCTAACAACGGACCAACCTCTATTTTACAAATTATACTCGTTTCTCAATTTGTATAACTTTAATGTACATGTATTCTGTAGTTCAGATTATATTATATTTTATCAATGAAATAACATTTCGGACAAACGGTTTAATTTCTTTTAAAATCTATACCAATTTATATTATTATATAATTATAGTTACAATTATTTTCAATTTGTAACTATAATATATATTTGTCCAGCGTCATGTAAGAACAACAATAATTTGAGCCTTTTATTTCAAATATTTTCATTATATGTTATATTGTGCTTCATTTTTTCATAATAATTATAATTATATCGCACTATAATATAAATAGTTTTATATACAATTTAATAATTAATATTTTAAATTCAAGAGAAAAATGTCTAGATCGAAAAATAACTGATGTGACCTAAGTGAAATCCCACTTTCAGATGAATATCATTTCTCATAAAATTGTAGCCTAAATCGTTATTTTGTATTGGATAATAGAGAATAATAGGAGCTCATATGCTTTACTGTACCGAAGACACCAGGTTGTAAATCTCTGTTTTGTATTAGGACAGTAGGAGGTTACAGAAGATCAACACATATGTAATTAAATTAACAGCTGTATAATTAGTGCTAATTATACTGCTGATAGGATTACAGATCTCCTGTAATTTCCTAGTCTCTTAATTCGGAAATAAAATAAACAATGAAAGTTAATAATGTTTTTTTCTAACATAATAGAGTGCTATTAGCTACGCATCAAGCACATGTGTTGTTCAAATCAAACACAAATTTTAAATGTTAAATAGTGTTAGTTAAATGTTAAAAAATCATTATTTAACATTTAATTATAAATGTTCATTATATTGTTAAGTGCATTGTTAATTATTTTTTATAATGTGTGTATTGTTAATCGTTCTTTATACTACGGTGTATAGTACCAGGATCTCTGAGCCACTTACAGCGAGGAACAAAGAGATCAAACGAGTAAAGATTTTTTATTCACGAAATTTACAACTGTATAAAAATATGACAATATGATACAGAGAAATACAATGTCATGAAAATATTAGAGAATCTACCCATTGGAACTACTCTAAAGTAACGATTAGGATGATTTAAAGTTTAATAGAGGCATAGAATGTATTTGTAATGTATTTAAGATTTTCCATGTCATGTGTGATATGAAATTTATCAACGTGCATTTAAAACTTTTCGATGCAATTTAGATTGTATATTGTTTTTGTTGACGTGAATACTACAATAGTTAAAAAATTCAATCATATGCCTTTCGTATCTTGTACCTTAAGTGGAAAACATTTGTTGGAAAATTAACATCTGAAATTCCATCCGATTACGATGCTTTCTCTTACCCAGCAGCTGCAGAAAATTTACAAAAATCTAACGGATTTAGATAGAAACATAAACTAAATATGTTTAGAAACGTGAATACGTAGTTTTAGTCCTTGGTAAAGACTCCCTTTTTATCGAATTATTAACATCCCGCTGAAACTTCGTAAATAGTTTCATCGCATCGTAACCCACAACTATTTGTTTTACGAAAACTCTTGGAATTGGGGCGTTTTCAATCTGGAGGGGAGCAAACTTTGTCTATTTGATTAGGTACTAAAAACTCGTAAATACCCATTTACTTTCTACTTGGATCGTAAGATAAATTGATCACAAAATCGTTAAAACTACAAAAATATTGGGCCGTTTGTCCTAGACAACCTCGTTAATTTGAAAATTTGGGCGTGTAGGTCACGCCAAACGGCTTAATATTTTTCTTGACTTTGTAATCAATTTATCTTACGATCCAATTAGAAATCAAATGGGTATTTACGAGTTTTTAGTACCTAATTAAATAGAAAAAGTTTGGCCTCCTCCAGAATTGAAAACGCCCCAATTCCAAGAGTTTTCGTAAATAAAATAGTTATAGGTTACGATGAGATGAAACTATTTACGAGGTTTCAGCAAGAGAGCACGGACTAGTTGTCTTAAATTTTCAAATACTGGTTGCTAACAATTTACGTTTTACTCCTTAGCTAAAAGCACACAGTTTCTTTCTCAGTTCAGGCTATTCTTCTTCTCAGATTGCTTTCCACCCATGAATTACGGGTTCTTCTCTTTTTACGTTAGTTAAATGTAGTCAGTCCTGATGCTTTCTGAATTTGTGAAAGTTATTATCAGTATTTTACTGCTGTTTGGAGGTTTTGGGGGCTTTTCTGAGGGATTTCCTGACTACCATTTTTCTTATTTTTCGAGTTGTCACTCTCAATTATTTATAAATAAATATAATTATATGATGGTGATATTACATATGATACTAATCTGGGTATAAGAAGAGGCAGGTGGCGTCTGCCTAAGAAACACACAAGCTCTAAGCCACTAACCCTAGGGTCGGATTAGCCCGTTGCTATTTTAGTCACGTCCAGGAATTTCTTCTCTTAGCCTCATAGCCAGCTAATAGGATAATCTCGTTCCCCGCGATACATATTAATTACAATGTCCTACACACCTGCGGTTTGGTCGTCTACCCTAACACGTCCTTTCTAAGATCTGGAATGTAGGAGGATGACCCACCGTATGGAGGGCTGAGCCACCCAATATCTAAGATTGAACTTAGTCTTCTCGTATTATCGGTTATTTCTATAATATCGATTAATAGTAGTTTGAGACGAAGTACAGTTCTCGATATTGATAAAAGAGTGAAAACTAAAAATTAAACAATTTTTACCACCTAATATACTGTGCGTGCTTGATAACTGTTTGAAATGTCGTGTGTGTGGGAGTATAAAAGTGGAGCCAGTAATGACCTATGAGAAACACCTGGTAAGACTAGCCCAATGGAAGAATGTTCTAATCATTGGCAGAAAGAATAATGAAGAGCATTTACATATTTTTAGTTAGTTTGTAATTAACATTTGCAAACTATGATAAATCTACCAGTAATAGACGGTGTTCAACTCGTTTACGGCCCAAACGACAGTGCAAATAAGAATAGATATGAAGCTGGAACATTTACGAGGAAGATGCCTGAACCTCGAGTGATATCCACCATAGACGATTGGTCGTGGATCCTTTAAGATAAAAGGCTGGGTGTTTATTCCAGGGAGGTTTCCTTTTTACGTTTCTTTGGGAGACAAATTTGAAATTTGTATTCGTTTCCCGGCAGTTTGTCAATTCTTTGTTTAAAACTGCGGATAATATATTTTGTTTTTTTTAATTATATAAAAAACATGCCGAACCTAAAATCTGGGGATCTATTATCACTTATGTTACTCCTTCAGTGGTATAAAAAATAAGGGTTTAAAAATTCATATCCAAAAAAAAATGTATAGGAGGTCATGTTGTAAAAAAGTAACATTTCAATTGTATAACTGTGATTTTTTACCTAGCATTTGCGTAGTGACCATGTCGTTTATGAGTGTGTTAAGATGTCCATGTAAGTTGTCGTGGGATCATTTGTAATGAGTTTAATGTGATTGTTAACAGTTGGCATATGGAGTTCAGTATTTAAGGTCATGTTGCTAACCTACCAAGCTGCTATTGTGATTGTCCTGAATGTTATTAATTAAAATATTTGAAGTTTATTTAATTGATTCTTTTTAGATGTTCCAAATATCTGTGAAACGTAAATCCAAATAGGTTTTAGTAAGTATGTGTTCCATTTCTGTCTAAGTTCTAATTTTGAACGTTTCGAAAGAAGTGAATCCAGAATGCTGAGTCTTTGATTTAGCGTTTTTCTCTTCTTTGTTATATGTGGGCCCCACGTCACTGATGTATCAAATGTGAGACCAAGGTAGTGAACGGTGTCTGTCTGTGGAATCTGTGTATTGTCAAGGAAAACTGGAGGGCATGTTTCACGTCGAAGGGTAAATGTGATGTGCTGTGATTTGTCGGATTGTCCAAAGTTTGAACCAGTCATGTTATCTTGTTAAATACAGTTGTAGGGTCTGTGAGGCGTATGATGGATTTGTGTGTCTTGCTTAAATTGCTGTGTCCTCTGCACATGTCACTGTTGAAATGTTGATACTATAAGTTGTGTCATGGGTGTATGTGATATAGAGTAGTGGAGTGAGTACTGAACCTTGGGGTACTCTTGCTGAGATGGAAGATAGTTCTGACCCGTGTCGAAAAGAGGAAAATCTGTCGGAAAGAAAGGATGGTAGAATTAGATAGTAAGTAGGTGGAAGTATTGTCTTGAGTTTAAAGAGAAGACTTTGGTGACAAACTCTGTCAAACGCTTGAGAAACATCCGTAAATACGCCATTCGCATATAATTTCGGCACTAGTGATGTAGGTATGTAGTCCGTAAGTCTATGTAGTTGGTGTATAGTTTAGTAATGTGCCCTAAATCCAAATTGACAGTCAAGTATTATTTATGTGTTTATTAGTATATCAACTTATTTTTTGTACAGTAAACTTTCGAAAATTTTCGAACAGATAGGTAGTAAGCTGATTGGGCGGTATGAGGAAGGTTAGTTTTTGTTCTTGTTAGGCTTTAGT